AAAGTCGAGTCAAATTCCTTGGACAATTTTATAATATTCTTGAAAAGAGAATAAATTCTTCTTTGAGTATGCTAATGCTTTCCCAAAATTTGTCATAAATATATTCTAAGACTATTATCAACAAAATATTCTCTGTTGAAGATAAGCATTACTTAAAAGAGGGAAAATAAACTAAGTGATCACTTTTCTTGACGGTAGAATGATATTTTCCTCTGTATGCAAATGCAAAAGTCATTTTCCATTCCATTTTCCACGAACCAATTGCAGGCTGCTTTCAAAGAGCCCCGTGAGAAAAGCAAGACTCCACCTATTTCCCGCGACGTTTCCGCGAGAACAAGATCTCCTTCGATGATGTTGCGCTGCAACAGTGCACCGAAGTAAAATCGGATTCGTAACGGTCAGAAATAACTGATTTGCTCGGAAATTTTCCTGTGAATTTCGATTGCGCCACGTGCCAACGCAATCGGGACACTCTCCATCTTTCATTTTCCTCCATGGCGTTATTGCACCGGCGACTGCTAGCCATCCAAGGATTACGAAAGGCTTGAAACTCCACCTGCCCCCGCTCGCGCTCAAAGAGAAAGAGAGAGGAGAGAAGGGAAGAGAGAGAACAGTGTGGTTTCCTTTAACCGGTCATTCACGAAGTAGGGCGACCTGCGGGTAACTCCGGCCGCTGCTAAGATTTCCGAAGGTGTTCGAAGGACGGCTGGTTATACGGCGAGACAAGTCCGCGCTAAGAAGTAAGCCTGCATCGCTTATCAGCCGACGATGTGTCGGAGAAAAAGGTGCGATTCTCTCGACAACATTGACGCGCTCTTGCATATGCACGAGAAGGAAGAGAACGCGAGGCTGTATCGAACACATACATAGCAGACAAACAGACAGAGACCAGTCGTTCAGTCGCACTTTCATCGTCCCACTTTCTCCGTGTTGTTCGGGACGCATCAGCGGGCTGACCACACTGCTCTTCGTGGTCTCGCGCAGGAGAGAGGTAGAGAGAGAAAGAAAGAGAGAGAGAGACAGAGAGAGAGACAGACAGACAGAGAGAGAGAGAGAGAGAGAGAGAGAGAGAGAGAGAGAGAGAGAGCACCTCCTCTCTCAAAGCAGGCACCTTCACCTCTTTCGTGGTGGCCGATTATCGACGCCGAGAGCACGTCAGAAAACGGTCGGGCGACATCCGAGAAAGTCCGGGAGAAGCTGCATCCGCCTTTTCTCCGGCGTTAGACACATCGCCGTGTCCGCAAGTGGGATCTAAACGAGCCGAGCGGGAACTCGTCATCGGCTCGGAACTTGGGAAAGTCCCAGTCAATCGACTTCACGGTTTTAAAACGTTCACTCGTCGCGCCGGGAGTCTCTTTTCGATCCTGTTCTGAAGCCCTTCCTTGAATCTCGTTTGTGGAAATATATTTGTATCTGCAGATTTTACGTATGAAAAGTATGTGACGCGAGAATCTGTGGCAGAGGAAAGGATGTATCTCCCCTCAATATGGGAATGTCACAGCATGCATATTGTAGACGCGGCTGAGCATGTAAATTTAAGCATGAAAGTGAGACTATCAGGTGCTCACCTCTTATTTGGAGAAATGAATTAGCCTTTGTCGTTGTCATCGCGTATCACGTCGAATAATTTATCACTATCACTCTACGCGCACTCCACGTTGTGTAACTGACAATCATACTGCATGCATGAGATAATGATAATATTAACAATTATCATGATAATCTTTCTCTCAATATACCTCATTACAGGTTACACTGATTTAAAAAAGATATCTAAAGGAATATTTATTCTTGTTGGTATTAATAACATATTTGTTTGTATATTACTAATATATATATTTCTACTGAGATAAAATTGTTTTCAAACGTGAATATTTACATTTTTTATGTCGTAGTTTTTTATGAAAACAACTGTTTATTTTATTTAAATAAAAGAATTCAGATTCAAAAAGAATTTATGCAAATACGTTATTACTCGTGTGGAAATCCCTACTCGAAATAGTCTAGGTGCAAGCCAGTTTTCCTATCTAGAGCCTATTTTGTAATCTTGTGAAATTTTAGAAATTTAAACCATCCAAGCACTAAATAAATAATTAAAAAAGACTGACTATTATTGACTATTATTGACTCAATCGATCATGTTTGTGCATCAACTTCTAATATCGTTAGAACAAGATTGTAAGGAATGTTGATTTACAATTAATGTATACTTTTTAGGAAGCTTTCGAGATTTTTGAAAACAAATTATTTTATTTCTAAGCTTCTTTATTTTATAGATACTTTTTCCTTTCAGCGTATCGATTTCTATCGCGTTTGCCAATCGCAATCTTTTATTCATACGTTGTCACGGCACCTTCCTCGTTGAAATCGCGATCCATCGCGTCGGTGCAATGCCCGAACGAGCGAATGAAAAGCAACGTCGTGTCACAGCGTGTGTAACTCCGGTGTACGGTACCGTTCTTCGTCTCGTTAGAGAAGCACGGATACCGCTTGGAATTTTTTATTTTTATCCGATCGCACGTCTGTGATGCGATCGACATTGATACGCGCATACGCGGAGGACGCGACGTCGCCGATTACGGCGACGCGCCGCATTGCGATGCTCGTCGCGGCGCAGCGCGACCGGGTGGGCGCTTCGTTTCCAGCAGTGTCTCAAACGCCGACGCGGCGTTCTATAGCGGTATTGAAGTCACTGCACCGTGAGAATACAGTTACGCGCCATATTCTCATGAATAATCGCTACGATTACGGTGCGAAGGGTGAGAAGAGCGCGAAAAAGCGCCGCCGTTACGAAGACGATCGCGTTTTCCTACGTCGCTCACCGAGGACCGGCTTCCTTCCCAGCAAACTTCCTCGTTTGTAACTTATTGACTCGAGAACCGTCATTCCATCCTATGAACGGTCATTTAATTGCGATCCGTCTTCCCACGGTGAAGCGTGAGACGCATTACGAAGAGAAATATGCGCTTTTAAATCATATTTTAACTTCAATAACGATACACATCGTGTCTTCTTTCATTTCTCATTACGAGAAGAATTGCTGTTGATACTTCAATGAATTTCTCGAGTAATTTGATATCCCACACGTTTCTGTTAATTTAATGAAAATAAAAACTTTTGATTTTGCCTATACAGACAATTAATTACTCATTCCATCAGGACAATCTTTAGACAATTAGGCAATTGAAAAAGGAAAAGTATTCTATCTTCCTCCTTTTTTTATTTGAGGAAAGGTTCTAGCTTAGATAACCGAAAAATAGGCGATTTTTTACCTTTTTTTTAGAAATATACGAATAAATTGCGACGATAAATATTTCTATTTCTTGGATAAAAAAAATTCGTAAAAACCCCTACAAGATGTGGACAAGAGGTTTGAAGTTTCAGGAGTGGGAGGGAACATTCGTCGGCCATCTTGGTTGATCAAAATTAGCATATATATAACATATGACATATATAGACTCAGTACTTTCACGTCATGAGCAGTCGCGTGGCATAATTTTAACCGAGGCATTGTTGCATTTCGAGGTTATGTATACTATAAACAAAAATAATGTCTGTAGTAAAGTGTTCCACTTTCTTTTACAATATGCCTGATCGTCACGCGAAAGGCAGCAACAATAAGAAATCGCGAAACGCAAAAATAAGATATAATTGGAATGGTGACAATGCCATGTGTCGCCGCCATCTTGGTTGATTCGTTACAATTCCCTTTCTGCTTCACACCCCGCGGAAGTATGCCCCGTCCAGATATTCTTATGTCCACGACATTCACATAAAAAGCTCCATATCTCTGGTAAAAACGGAGGTAAATCTGAATTTTACGGACGCGCTAGATGCACTTTCTATTTCTAGTACACGAGCCTTTCGTGCCGTATCAGATCGGCTGCGGTATCACACAACGCTCCCCGTACGCTCGCCAGCCATGAGCATTCGTGCTCACCGTGACTTTCTATTCGCGAGCATAACTCGCCAATTCGAGCTTGCCAATCCATTCTTAATGGGAGAGGTCGAGAATCGTTGGCGTGTTGCCGCGATCACTCGTCGGATGCGCAGCCGACTGGTCATAGAACGTCGCGAGAGGTTCAGTTTCGACGTTTCTCTCGATTGACGTCTTAGAAATGGTACATAAACAACAGAAAATCATAAATAATTCACTGAAACAGTGGTGAAGCTTGTTAAAAGTGTATAATTATATACAGCTCTCTGTAAAATTCCACGTGTGGCAGAGAGATAGAGGTGGAAAGCAAAGAGAGAAGCTGTTTCTCCTCAATTTCGACATCTGCACACTCACCCACGCGTTCGTACTATCGCATTTACATTTTTTTATTCCTAGCAAGATACGAGAGATCAAAACTCTCGAGGAAAATATTCCGAGAATCTAAAAATTGCGAAAATTTCGTTGAATCTGTAAGATCTGTAAGATATCGACATTTTATAGCTTATGGTTTAACAATATTTCATTGACTTACACATGGAAAGTAAGGAGGGGAGCGAGCACAACTGAAAATGTGCAAAACGAAGTCTCGAGGGTCACACTCTACTTGGCGACATGAACTCGAAATCCAGGAAGGAATGCATATCAAGGCCGATCTCTCGGAGCGCGCGCATTTCCACCCGCTGCTGCTCTCTCTCATTATCGTTCGACAAACCTAGCGGCTAATTAGAGCTCAAGCGTGAAGTGAGCTCGAAGCGTTCGCGATCGCTGCTGCGAAGGTATCGAAGGCCAATTTGAACGGGATTTCAGTCGCGTTGTCAACCTTCCGTGACGAAAATCTATTAATCGCCGACGGGCTAAATTCTCACGGCTTACTAACGGCGACAAATATCCCAATCGAAAATTGCAATTGACGCAATTCGTCAGCTCTCAAATGGAGAGCCACACGAGAGTCTCAGATGACGACCATTAAACCTATTAGACGCGGCTTATTTGGCATGAATCCAACAGACAAAAAGATTTGTTCAACAACCGTTCTTGACACTTGACATTCGTTTGATCGCAGGGAGTCAGTTCAGCGATAATACACCGCCTATAATGTGGCTGGATCGAAATTGGGTACTTCCGGATACCGAGCCGGTAGGAAGTATCGTGACTAGGGTGCGCGCCGAGGACAACGAGCAGGAAACGTTGACCTACGGCCTGGAACCGCTCGGACACAACTACAATGGGGACGACAGTCCACAGGCACCATTACCCTTCTTTATCGACAACAGCACTGGCACCGTCTACCTCAATGAGACTCTTAAAGGAAGGGTGAGTTCCTTCGACGATTATCAAGATTAATTATTTACTCATAATATTGATTTTAGATCGAGATTCTCATCTTTCTCGATCTTTGTATTCATTCTAGATAAATCTAAATATTCCGAGCGTGAATAATTTAAATTGAAGCTCAAATAAAGACAATATTTACTTACATAAAACGTGATCCTCATCGATATTTCGCCTCAATACAATCTGAAAATAGTCGCACTTAAAAATTACAAGATCCGATTGTTTGTTGGTCCTCGCAATATTTTTCAACTTACGGACCATTATTTGAGATTTTGCGATTCTAAAGTTTCAATAAATCAAAGTTACACGTGCGTTTAAACGCCGAAAACATTCCGAATTGCCAAAGAATTCTAAAAAAAACTCAGAAGTTTCGAGACCTCGTTGTGACCCGAAAATTCAGGGGATATCGATATATCCGAGAAATATTGATATCCTGGATATTACCGTAGTCGCGTGCAAGACAGAGACACACAGGTCGGCGGCGGGTTTTGTTAGAAAAATTCGTTTCGAGGAAGGAACGCGATAGAATGCATCTTGGACGTTGGACGAGGGCGCGTCTACATATACGGCGTACGACCGGCCGCGAGACGTCGACGCGCTGAATTACGTCTTCTTGCTCATTCTTCTTTCCAGGGAGGGCAGAACCTGTTCCTCTACGTGACCGTTTCCGACGGTCAACTCACTGCGAAGACCGAAGTCTACGTCAACATTAAGAACACATCAGCACCAAATCGGGGAAAGACGAGGTGCGTGCTCGCGCACACTTACGATGGTGTTTTCGATAGCTCGTGACGATTCATCGAGTTTGCGAAGAGAGAGAAAGAAAGCAGCGACGACTGAAACAGAGATATAGGAACGGAAAACGCCGGCGCGCTCTCTCTTTCTCTCTCATGTTTTCGCGTTGTTTGTTTTGTATTTTAACGCGCAAAAAGTTGGTCGTGAAGGTTAAGAATAATCGATCGATTTACATCGACGTCGGGAACTCAGTCTCTGAAACAACTCTTAACGATCTTTTGAAAAGTAGTATGAATTTTAAAAGAAAAAAGAAGTGTGAGAAAGGATTAATATATAGTACTTGATTGAAATAAGTTTTTTTACTGAACAACACGCTGTTTTGAAACACGATGTTTTGAAACATATTCTAAGAGGAAAACATATGACGATTATATTTCTTCAGTTAACTATGAATATCAGAGTGGTGTCTTAATGGTGATAATTCCGACGCACAGTTTAATAATATGCGAGTTTAATCACATGCTATTTAATAATATGCAGAGTCTAAACTCTTGGCATTTTTATACCAGGCTATTTTCATATGACCTTCAACTTTGTGTATCCAGTGTCTATTAAATCTCGCCGTGCATGTTATTGAAGCTAAATTTATCGATCTTGGGATTTCTCATTTCTTCTAAAAATTTTTAGTGTGTATTACAACAAAATTATCTCTTTAGGAAATTGAATCGTTATTTATCGTGGTAACAAATTCCAGATCCATATATCTATAAATCCATATATGACAAAGATTTAAATATTTGAATAAAAAGGCTATTAAATGTTATTAACGGTGTAAACTTATAAAATAATATTTTACCTATAAATGACTAAAAACAACGCAGGACCTTAAGGGGACACGATGGTGATTCGTTCCATTATTCATGCTCCACTTCGTTAACGATATCAGGGGCGGATCGAACAAAAATTGCAGGGTGCAAGGAAATGCTTGTTATGGAGAAATCGATTCTCTACCGTAAATAGCGGAATTCCTGTGTCATTAAGTCGACAATGCCTGATATTAGAAGAGTTCCTTTTTTTAACGCGCGCTCGCGAGGAGTATTCAGAAATATATAAAGCGAAGAACTGAAAAAATATAACGATAGATGCAAAACAGCGGGTTACTTAAACAGGCAAATTAATAGTCTTTTAAATATTATCTCACAATGATTATTAATACAATTTCCAACTGATATCTACAGAAAACTTAAAAGAAGAAATAACTTCACTCAATCTGTCGAAGAAAAAAAAGTTGCGTTTAAAAAGAACGCCGTTCAAAATCGAAATAAATTAAAATAAATTACATTAATGTTTATCAGTAATTAAAGAACTTTCTTATTCATTTAGGACACCGTTTCCAAGTCAGCACGGTTCCGGTGGTCGGATACGACCGCCTATACTGAGCCTGCCTAATTTACCGAGTTTCGCATCGCCTTTACCTCCTTTACCACCAAAGCAGTATCATCCCGAGACCACGAAGCTCGAGCTGGAGAAGACCAAGCCTAAAAAGAACGCGGTCGATGTGAACGGCAGCGTTACAGAGGAGACAGTCGAAATTTTGAACGAGGTAGAAGGACCCGCGTTAAGTTCTAAAATTGCACCTTCCGCCGCACCACCTTCGCAGGACATGGCAACGACTTTGGTGCCGGTGGCAGCAGGATGCGCCATTATCCTGAGCGTCGGCATAGCCGCCTGGTCCCTGAGGCATAAATTCTGCATTAGTCGCAAGTCCAAGGAAGACACGGTACTTGAAATAAAATTTCTTCAACAAATAGATGAAATTGAGGAAGACTATCCAAACAGCGCAAATGTCTAAAATATGTCTCACAAGGAGACATATTCTCATGTATTCCGCCTCACTGATTTAGATACAAAATTTTGTATAAGTAGTTTTCGTACAATGAAATTTCTTTGCAAAGCCATTCAAAACACTTCTCGGAATTTGCAGGGAAAAAATTCATAAAGTTTAACGCAAACGTATATGATATCCCTTTGTCAGAAACATTCTAAAGTCAAGTATAAAATAAAATAAATAAAAATCTTTCATATGTCTTTGATATATCTTTTAGACATTTATAGTGCATAAATTTGATATAGATAGTCGATTTGAACATTGCGATCTTTATTTTCAGATTATTCACAAGACGAAATAGAATAATAAAACCGATTGTTTTACGATTTTCAGAAAGAACAGGTGTCAGTTAGTGTATCCAATTTATCCGACGATCCCTCTCTCGTATTGAAGAGATGGCGTGGCTCGAAAACTCACAGCAATCGTTACCAGCCGTGGGAGAAGGAGTCTCAGGCAGGCATTCAGAGCAAGCAAGAAGACAAATGGGAATTTCCCAGGCATAGATTGAAGGTAATCATCGTCGTGTTGAAGCATCGGTAAATCTTGTAGTCGATAATTGATTGTTGCGCGTTGCTCAATTACTAAGCAGCTGCTACTAATTATTCGGTTATAAATAAGATCCATCGCCAATTCATAGCGTAAATATATTCTCACTCATTCAAGATAAACGAATAATCCATTGCTCACCAATTCCCAGGTCTTCAACATCCTCGGCGAAGGTTGCTTCGGTCAAGTATGGAAGTGTGAGGCCCTCGACATTGACAACAAGTCCGGTGCAACTATCGTCGCAGTAAAAACCCTGAAGGAGAACGCTACCGAACGAGAGCGACTGGATCTCGCGCAGGAGTTGCGAGTCATGAAGAACTTGGACCCTCACCCGAACGTGGTGCGACTTCTAGGCTGTTGCACTGAACGCGAGCCTATGTTCGTCATCTTGGAGTACGTGAGCGGTGGGAAGCTGCAGAGCTTCCTCAGGGCCTCCAGAGAAGAGAGAAATCACGGAGGAGCGGGATTAACTTCCAGGGATCTCACCGGATTCGTATATCAGGTGAGTGCGAACGAGCTGTGAACTTTTCTATGAATTTATTGCAAAAGGCTGAGTAATAACTAGTTAATCAGTTAAAAAGTTAATAACCACTAATTTGTACTAATTCTTTTTTAATTAACTTTAAGAAGAAAAAAAGAAAGAAGAAAGGAGAAATTGCCAGCGAACAATTAACTCTTTGATGTTTACTGTTCACACTTTATCCGCAGATCGCTAAAGGCATGGAGTACTTGGCGTCGAAGGGTATCATTCACCGTGATCTAGCTGCCAGGAACATCCTCATCGACGAAAATCGCGCATGCAAAGTAGCGGACTTCGGTTTTGCCAGAGACGTGGCGGCTAATCAAATCTACGAGAGGAAATCCGAAGGTAGACTGCCGATCAGATGGATGGCACCTGAGAGTCTGTACGACAATATATTTTCCGTTAAATCGGACATCTGGAGCTTCGGCGTCCTGATCTGGGAGATAGTAACGTTAGGTTCGACACCTTATCCTGGTTTGGCCGCCGCAGAGGTACGTGTCCGCTGAATATCTGTTCTCTTTTTTCAGAGGACAGTAAATCGACTTTCCCAAGTGAAAAATTACCCGTGAACAAAAACAAGACACATTAGAATAAAATAATATTAAAAACAATTGAGGAAAGAGAGAGAATTCTCAGAATGTTGGAAATTGTCGCAGAAACCAATCCAAATATAAACAACACGAAATTTCTTGACGAAATTCAGCAATATTTAATTCCATTAAATTAGTTATATTACGGCAGAATTTTAACCAAAAGTTTCAGCAACAGAAGAAATTGTTTTGAAGGGAAACATTCGTGTTTTGCAGGTGATGCGGCGAATCAAGGAAGGCTACAGATTGGACAGGCCCGAGCACTGTAAAAGGGAACTTTACAACATAATGTACTATTGTTGGGACAAAGATCCAGCGTGCAGACCGTCCTTCGCTGAACTGGTCAGCCTGACCGAAGGCCTCCTGCTCGACGAGACCGATTACATCGAGCTCGACAGGTTTCCGGATCACTCGTATTACAATGTGCTCAATCTCAGCGGCGAAAAACTGTAAGAAGTGCGCGATCTACGACGCGATCAACGACGCTCTTTTGGACGTTTGAATTGTTCGAAGTGTTTGCTTGCATCGAGCCAGAAAGTTTTTGATTTGTCGAATATGAGCCGTCATGTGTTCTCGCGACGAACCGCTCTTCTTTGATTGGACTGTCTCGTGTTGCAACGAATAGTGTGGAAAAATCAGACAGATCGTTATCTAGTTGATTCCCAAGATTATCGCGACTTTGTTCTTTTTATTATATATTTTTTAGCCGAAGAGACTATCGAGTCATGTGACTGTATAAAGAATAATGCAACGTGTGTTCTGTACACACAGAAAAATATCATTTTGCTGCTAAGGAAAGCGGTTATTCAGTTTATTTTCCTTGTTTCAAATAACTTTCAATGAAGAATATTTTCTTGTTGAAAATCGAAGAAAAAGTTTTCTTCACAAGAATATTATAAAACTTCATCGAAGAAAAAGTTGGTCGACAACTCTACGTAATAAGTCAAATTTTTGATTCGATATTCTTAATTGAAATACTACTAGGATTCAAATTATGCTTTCTATTCCATATTTTGAGCAAATTATTATATCAGTAATGAACTCATGATAGATTTGCGGATATATAAACTTATAAAACACTTGAAACAAGTAATATTTACTTGAATGTAACATACACTTTTCTATGTGTATGTACGTTCGCTCAAAGATAATACAAGAGTATCTCTGAGTCTTTCGCCTTTACCATGACGTAAGACTGTTTGGTCGTTCTGTTAAATACTCACATATACACATGTACATATGACAAATGAATAATTTTTTACTACCAAGACCGACAGAAAGGAAGAGAATGAAAATAAAAAAACGAAAGAAAGAGAGAGAAAGAAAATATGTAGAAACTTGCGTTTAGAGCCGATTGTTTTAACCTTTTGATAAGCTAGTTAACATTTAAATCATGTATCTATCTGTCTAATTTGAAAAAAAAAACGAAGACAGATATAATTTAACTGGGATGCGTTCAGAAAATACTAGAAGTGTTATAGTATATGTGACATATACTATAGTGTTTTTAGTAATAGAGTGCAACCAGATAAGGAATCTGAACGCACCCCTGTCAGATAGCTTACCAAAAGATTGGGACAATCGGCTTAAAAATATAATTTAATCTAAACGCGACATCACTTGAAAGTTAAAGGAAAGAATAATCGTGCAATGTCTTAATCGCTACTCATTCACGTCTGAACATACACGAATCTGTATATATGTATTAAGTTAAATATTGTAAGTTATTGTAAAATTGCTTGTTGTAAGAATAAATAGATGTATACCAGACTAGGGCTTCAATATTGAATCTGACACTATCCGGGTATTCGATTCATGGGAATATAAGACAGCATTGAGTTGTCATGAATCATAAGGGCCTCTACACACAAATTGTCGTAACCATAACGTAAGACGTACCGTAAGAATTGACCAATCATATTGAGAATTGTCGAAACGTAAGGTCGCCATTTTTATGAATACTCGATCGTAATTGGTCAATTCTTACGGTACGTTTACGTTAAGCTGGCCACACACATTTTCCGTAATAGTAACCGTAAAGGTGCCAATACATGGGAGCGTCCCGGCGTCGAGCGTTAAAGCGTTAGCCAATCAACGTATCAGATTCCAGAAGTATACTTGTAGTTCTTGCGGAAAGTGGCACGTTGATTGGCTATCGCTTTAACGCTCGACGCTTGCCATGTAAAGGCACCTTAAGACGTAACGTAAGAATTGACTAATTACGAGTATTCATAAAAATGGCAACCTTACGATTCGATGATTCTCAACATAATTGGTCAATTCTTACGTTACGTCTTACGGTTACTGTTACGAAAAGTGTGTGTGGCCAGCTTCACAGTTACGACAATTTGTGTGTGAAGACCCTAAGGCTGGTTCTACTATAGGTTTGTTCGAGTTGTTTGTACTATTCACACTTTTGCCCATACTATTCACCTGCCCGTTGCACACTAGTGCACCTCATACAGTACAAATTTTCCAAAATACGTTCTGAAAACGTTTTTAGGACAGAGGAATGTCATCAGAATATTCTTAGAGGTCCTTTGGAGGTGTGAATTGTCTGAAAATAACTAATATCCAATAAGTTTATTCGCATTAATTGAACTTTTTATACTTTTACACTTAGTGCACATTAATTCTTTAGAGGTTCTAAAAATGACGTCATGATTTCCATTCGTGTTACGAGTGTGAATGTAATTCTGATACACTTTTTACACTTGATCCCAAGCAAGAGTAAAAAGTGTATCAGAATTGCATTTGCACTCGTAATACGAACGGAAAACATGACGCCATTTTTAGAACCTCTAAAAAATTATTGGGTGCTTTCCAATTGCTTAACACATCTTGACATATATGTAGACTCGTGGTCTGAAAGGTTTGTGCACCGATTTTTTGTAGATTTCGGAACACGTCAACTTTAGGACACAGACAACCACTGCTTGACACGCCAGCGCCGCCACTTATTACGAGAGCAGAAGGATTGCATATACGGTATATGGTATATTCACACCTTCAAAGGACGTCCTAAGAATATTCTGATGACGTTCCTCCGTCCTGAAAACGTCTTCAGAATATATTTTGAAAAATTTGTGTTGTTTGAGGTGCACTAATGTGCAACGAGCATTAAGTATAAAAATATGAAAAGTACAAGCAACTCGACAAACCTATAGTCAGATCTTATATTTAAGATCATCTTGGCTGTGTTCCAAAATTCTACTCGGTGGGTAAAGTATATTTAATTGACCAATCATGATAAAGAAATCCTAGTTATCTTTGTTTTTATTGGTCAATTAAATGCCTTCTACTGAGTAGAATTTTGAAACGCAGCACTTAAGTACTGTCTTAAGATGTCATGAACCAATCACAGAGCTGTATTCGTATCTTAAGATATTACTTAAGACGGTCTTGAAATAAAATTCGACTATGAATACCGGCCCCAGACTTTCCTCCGTATATTTTGTGGGAATGTAGAACGGATTGAGATGAACATAAAAGTACTATTCCGTTTTGCGATATTCGCAATAATAACGGAGAAATTATACATATATATATATATATATATATATATATATATATATATATATATATATATATATATATA